TAAAAAATGCAAATTGTACTATAAAAGCAGAATGCCTAAAATACTTTGCATATACATACCACCAAAACTATTTAGAACAGAATATATAATAAATAATAGAACAGAATTTTAGTAGAAATAAAACAGAATCTTTAACAGAGCACATAATATAATGAAATAGTGAATAGAGAATCAGAATCTTTAGAAAAAAAAACAGAACAGAACTTTTAATGAAGAATCAAATAGAATACAACCTCTCTGATAATCAAATACAAGAGAAACATCTACAGAGAAGTGAAGAGATTAAAATACAACCTTCGCTCAGTAATGAAACATAATAGAATCTTTAACTGAGAACCAAATAGACCAGAATATCTAATAGAGAATCAAACAAAATGGGATCTTGAATCAGAACAGAATATCTAATAGAGAAACGAATAAAACAGAATCGTTGATAGAGAATCAAATAGAATGGAATCATTAACAGAGAATCAAATATAACACAATCTTGAATAGAAAAAAGGAATGGAAAGGAGTATTTCATACAGAATCAAATACACTACAATATCTTTGATAATCAAATGCAATTAAAACCTTAACGGAGAGCTAAGCTAAACAGAATAAAACAGAACATTTAATAAATAATCAAGCCGAATGAAATCTTTAAAAGACAATTAGAACAGAGGAATAAATAGAATCTTAAACGGGGAACTTAGAACAGAATATTTAAAAGAGAATCTATTACAACAGAATCCTTAGCAGAGAATCAAACACAACAGAATCTTCAATAAAGAATCGAATACAACAGAAATCCAACGGAGAACCGGATAGAATCTAAATGAACCTTCAACAAGTAATCGAATGGAGTAAAAATTTTCATACAGAAACAGAATAGATTAACAGAGAAATAAATAGGACAGAACCTTAAATTAAAACCGAATAGTATATGATATTTAATAGAGAATCAAATGGGATTGAACATTTAAATCAAACAGGGCCTTTAACGAGGAACTGGATAAAATAGAATCTTCAATACAGAGTGCAGAGGAGACATATAGTCACGACCTCAGCTGAGATTCCTTAGGGAAAAAAGATGTGAAACCTAGCAACACATACCGTTACACGGATAATTGCATCTTATATAGAATATATGGCTAAGAGACAATATAACTAAAGAAGAAGATAAACACGGTGTCAGCAAGACATCGGTATCCAAAATAACAGCCGTCATCACGTTTGGCATTATGAAAGCTGATGGACCTAAAGTCATGTCTCGTGTTTACGTTTCAGAAGAAAGTGCGAAGTTTAAAAAAAAATGATAGAGAAGGCCATTGGTAGGCCTGGACACATGAGCTCGTACGCGAGCATCGCTAATAACCGGTTGGCTAAAAACAAAGCTAAGGTAAAGACGTAGCAGGCTTTTCTGCTCGGAGTCGGAACCAGTTCATAAATGCAATGCTTAAGATTAAAATGGGTTTGCCTCATACCAAATATTAATATTTATGTAAACGATTCTTTTCTTACCTGAATTAATCAATAAGTGAGCGCTTCGGTGGTCATGCAGTCGTCGTTTATCTTTAGCACTGACATGCGCAGTGCGTCGTTTTTGTCAGACAGGACACAGAATACTACTGCGAAGGCCAACGCTCATGAATATTAATTATTAATAAGCCATCAGACCTGTTTTTATACAGTAACCCACATCTTTCAGTAAGTCAGCAAGGCCCACTGGACGAACGACGAGAAATGTAATAAAAATTAATAAAATAAATGAACAAATCCTTCGCCTTAGATGGATTGTAGGACCAACAGGACTGTGATAAGACCAGTCATACGAAAATAAATGCGTTAAACAATAAGCCCCCCCCCAACAAAGCAGCTATGTTTAATTGACTCTTCCCGTTAAAATTAAATAAAACATGTAGTAATGTAAAACAAATATGACTGGTGTTTAATGCTTGCAATGAAAAAAAACTTTGCAAATAATTACTTTGCAAATGAACAAAACTATAATAACGTATGTAAACACTTATAGCCTACATGTAGACATTATCATAGGACATGCAGAATGCAATGCTATAATCTATTATTATTATTATTATTATTATTATTAAGACCATGACTCATTACCTAAGGAAAAATGTACCTACAAGAGAACAGAGTATATGTGTGTGTGTGCATATATGTATGCACACTCACACACATATATTATTTTCTCTCTGACACACACACACTTACTACCAGTCATTTTGTGTGTGTGTGTGTGTGTGTGTGTGTGTGTGTGTGTGCGTATCCGACACAATGTACTTGGCCTAAATAAGTTTGAAGTCCCCTAATGTATGGGAAACACATTATACATGGGCACATACAGGTTTTAATACCTTTACATAAAAAATTTAAAACACTTAAAAAGATAGGCTAGGTAACATAGCATGCGGTAATTTGTCTTAAAATGATATGCATGTAGTATAAAATTAAAATATCTTTTACAAATAACAATAAACAAAATATTGTTAGGATGAGATCAAATTATTGGCAAAGAATGATAAAAATGGCATTAAAAATAGAAAACGACAAAGTTAAAACAAGTAGGCTATATCAATTTTTTTATTTTTTTTATTTATTTGTTTCGTTGTATTATGTTCTGATCTTTTTTTGTATTATTATTTTTATAGTACTTTTCAGACACTTTAGTGACCTATAGGTGTCCAGTTTTGTTCTTTTAGTTTTGTGCTTGGATATATGGAATTAAATATTAAATTATAAGAATTGGAGAATCACAGAATTATAGAATCGGGTGCCAGTTGTCTAAACTGCTTAGACTAGTCTTAAAATTCATTCATTATTCGTTTCTTCTTTCATTCTTTCATTTATTTATTTATGTTTCTTCGAAACTGGTCATAAATTTGTAAAGTCAGTTACATAAAAAGGTAGATCGGTCTAATTTGATTCTGAAAAGTAAGACTGATTATCATTTGGTAAACTGCTAGTTGGTCAAACTAGTTCTTAAGACTAGTTAAGACTTAAGTCTTAGTGGCTATGTTTATACAACTGGCCCCAGCTCTGTAAATTCTGAACACGAACATTTCCTGCAATGGCTGTACAAATAATTTTCCTTCTCGCACTATCGTCCAGTATGACCGATGAAGGAGTGGGCTTCAGGACAGAACCTAAACATTTTCTTCGTGATGAGCAAATACACCGTTACAAGGTCAAATTAATGAACTCGGGAAAGCAGGTACGTGCACAGACATTTTGAGGGGCAGGGGCTCAAGTGGAAAAAAGGGCACTTCTCATAATTATTTAAATTTTTTTTCTAAACAAAACGTTAAATATGTTAGGGCTGTGTGATATTGACAAAAAAATATATCTCAATCTTTTCTGGGATTTTATCAATAACGATAATTAGACGATATTTTGCTGAGTGTGTTATTGTGCTGGTACCTTAAGGACTACAGTGGACAGCTGATTCCTACAGTTTTTGATATTCTTCATATTCTGCGTGGTGATCCGTTCACAGCAGTGATAGAAATGAATTTTTTCCAATAAATTTAAATTGATTTTTTTTTTTACCTTTTATGGGCATTTTTACCTTTATAAAGCCCTTTTTTCTAAAAGTGTGCATCGTCTTTTCAGTCAAATTCTTAAATTGAATCAGTCAACTAGAATATTAAGTCATTTGGGCTGTTACCAAGCAAATAAAATCAGTACTGACAAAATTAATCTTTGCAATGTAGAGAAAACACAGAAGCTGCATTAGAAGGGGCATTTAGATGCATTTACACACTGTTTAATGCAGGACATGAATGCATTTAACCTGCAGTTACAAATGCATTAATACTGTTTTGATATTTTAAACATAAAACGTTGAATAGGCCTACTGATATTTGAAATTAAAAAAAAAAAAAAAAAAAAAGATTTTAAATGTGAAATTAAAACTATCAGAAGGTGGCAGAAAGACACTGTTAATAAGCGAGTCATTGCAATTGAACCGAATCATTTAAACAGTTGATTCATTAAGGAACAAAACAGAGTCATGTTGCTCAGAGACGCAAATTGGAATTATATTTGTTTGCGAAATAGAGCAAAAACAGTCTAAACGTATTTTATGTCTAAAAGTAAGTGTCGTAATATTCAATTCTTGTTTATTGAACTGCTGTATAAAAATCAATATCACATTTGTAATCATGCTTTTTGGTGAAAAAACATCAGTCTTCACGTGATACTGATGAACTATGTGAAATTAACTATATGAAATCATATAAATATATACATTTCTGCCCCCATATCTTGGATTTTGTGATCATTCTAAATGAATTTTAATAAACTGAATCATGCAGTGAAAGAACGCGCACTGCACTGGTCTAAATACTAGACTTCCTATTGCCGTAGCTCTCTCATGAGTCATGGATGTTAGCAAGACAAATTAACCATATTTGCCTTTTGTCTTTTGGATAACTAGCTGTAAATTCGAGGCACCGGTAGCGTAGTCTGTTGTTCATCACCACTCACCTCCACATCAAGACAAACACAACTGTAAAGGGAGCAGTGTTGTGCAAGTTACTTCCATTCTGTAATACATTACAGATGTGCCTTACACTACTGCGTTACAGGAAAAAGTAATACGTTACTGTAATACATTACTTTTGTAACGCATTACTCCCAACACTGAAAGGGAGGGAGGGCTTCGCTTTTGTGGCTCTCTGTCTGTCAGTGATGCGCATGTGCCGATCAATGTGTGCTACACTGCTGTGCTGCGGAAACGAGGAGGGGAGAAAGTCTCAACATTTCCCGACCCGACCTGACATTTTGACAGGGAAAGCTGTGCGCAAACAGAAACGCACACGCACACATATATACAAATATTCATTTATTTAAAAAAAAATCTCCCCAGAAAAAAGGGCACTTTCTCTTGGGGAAGAAAAAGGGCAGGTGCTCAAGCCCCCTTTGATGTCTATGTGTGCACATGCCTGCGGGAAAGACTATCAGGCAACAGCTGCAGAAGGGAGGGAGATCCCATCCACTCCAGCAGTGATTTCTCATCCTCCCGCTTACGTGTTTGACTCCGCCTCTCCACTGACCTGCCTGGAGCTCAGAGTCTCAGTGCCCCTCTCCAGAGCAGCGAACAGAGCCCACCACCATTCGCCGCTGCTGCTGTTTGTTTTTCCGTGCTGACCTGCTGATATAATGGCCTCCGATGGTATGGATGAACGATCCCCGCTGTTGTCAGCACCGAACTCGGGGAATGTCACGCCCACTGCTCCGCCGTACCTGCAGGACCTGAGCCCGAGAGGTAAATGTGCATTGTGACTGACGGAGGAGTGCTGAATCATTTAGGGCGTATAGTAGTGAGCGGGGATCTGTAGCAGCCTACAGCCCGTTTAATATGATACATTGTTTGCAGACGACAAGGAATAACAGCTCAGATGGTCGTGCCAGAAGAACGGGCCTCAATCTGCCTGATAGTGCCATTGCAGCCTCATGTGATGGGTGCAAAATGTTGCATTCTTGGACAATTTTAAGCTAGTTAGTAGCTAAACAATCTGATTTATCGGTTATTAAACGACGGTCGACTAACACCGGTTCAGCCGGCTGCAGATTTGTATGGATATTTCGAGGTCGCTGCATTTAAGATGAGGCAGTTGACATTTCGCTTGCTAGAGATGTTTTGCTTACATTCATAGACCTCTATAAGTGCCAGTTCCTATCATATAGGCCCAGACCACATTATATAGATTCTATAAACATATTAAACATTATAAGTCATAAAACACTTATTTATTCCTACATAAGACATACTGCTTGTAGTAAACAACAAAGAGGAGACACAAGATGTCAATTCACTTTGTAGCCTAAATACAAACGTTTTTGGTTTGCACATAGGCTGTGTGAAGAGTGTGCAGTTTTTTGTTTTTGAAGGTATGTTTTATATAAGTCCTTAGTTTGCTACTTGGTGACACTATATTTTAGTGTCAATGTTACATACTTAGGCCTACTATGGAAACAACAGTACATTATGCATAATTACACGCAGCTAATCGTAAGTGTATGTTGTTAATTAATGTTACTCAGTACTTATTTGTGTAATTACACGGTAATGACGACACCTTAAAATAAAAAGTAACCATAATGCTTTTTCTCAGGGATTATTAGCAGAGCCACCACAGACATGAGGCAGGTCCTCCACACAGCGTAGTGGTCAATCAATATGGGATTTTCAATGACTGATTTCCAGACTTTTACTTTCGTTTCCTCTAATCATGAATAATTGGTTGTGTATTTGATTGCCAGGCTGTAATGAGACATCAAATCCAAGTGAGGATGCCAAAAATTGGACAGTTCCACCTTTTGCAAGTATGAATAAGTAGCAAAGCCCATTTGATGGTATATAATTTGACATACTATTATATTTTATATACTATACATTTCTTTACATGTTTAATAGTAAAACCAGTTTTGTGATGTGAACTGAAGAAATGAGGACCCTGTTTAAGGACACATTCATGGTAAAAGTGGGCATCAGATTTCCACATGGACCCACTAAACAGACATAGAAAATGAATAGAGTTTTTTATTGGAAGATACTGAGAAGAAAAGAGGCAATATAATACTGACATATAACCTATGTGATATAAGCTAATACTATTTAATTATAGTGATTCTGGGATGTAAACACGCTTTTATTAACTTCTAATACATATTTGAAATTCATTGAAATATTTGAAAACAAAGGAATGACTTGTAATCCCAAATTGACCAAATGTCTCTCTACTAAACAGTCTGTCAACCCATATTTGCTCTTTTGTAAATCTACCCATATTGCACTTCCTGATTAGCCGAAAAAGATTTAAATTTTTACTGTAATGATCCGCTTACACTTCATCTCATTATTCATAATGGCTTTATTACCATGAAGTACCATGATCAGGTGATGTGGACAGCATAAACTGTGTGTGCTAAACTATGTACTCTAGCATTATTATCTGGCCTAGTATTTCAAACCCCTGGATTACAGTTTCTTTGGCTTTTTTTTTTGACCACGAGCGTTCACCCACTGAGTCTTTGAGAGGGATTAGCCTGTCCTGTTGGGGGAGGAACTGCTGAGCTGGACTGGAGTCTGTGCACAACATTGCTGAGACTGAAGTTTATTCTGCAGTTGCATTTGGAAGCCAAAGCTACATTTATTGGAAATACCTGTGTGCAGCAAACCTTATAAGAGTAGAACTGCGAAAGTTAGTCTGCAAGGTCTTTAACCATGCTCTGTGCTGTTAGACTGAGTAGAACAAAGGATAAGAAAGCTTTGACCTTGTCTGCATGACATTCACTGAATGGGTTTTATTTTAGTGTTATGTGATCAGTCCTCCGAGGTGAAAACCAGACCGAATATTGCTCTCTCCTCTGGTAATGTCATGTAATTTCTGCAAGCATCTCACAAGATAAACAAATATTAGTTGACTGAAACTCTTGGAGGTCTAGGGATGGGCAGGAGGACTGGATCAACTTTGCCTTAGGCCTGGGCAAGTAATCAAATTTTGTTGTCAATTACAATTTTGGCTTGCAAAGATTATTGAGATTTGCAGTTTTGCAGTGATGTACTCGTTTGGTCTTGTTTTATAAATCAAGCGCACACCTTTCTTTCACAGCAGTGCACATGATCCTGAATATCCATTTTTCAAACTGTACATTGTAGTGTGGTGATACAGAATAGTGCTTACATCCAGCCAAAAGTGTAATTTCAGTGTAAAATAATGCAGTTTTGCACATTATTAATACAGCTGCAGATTATAGATTAAGGGGAAAAACTAGAACACGTTTACTGACTTATGTACACTCTCATATTCACTATTGTCAATGCATGCTAATCTCTGCTACACATGGGGTGCACAACCTCTCCGTTATTTTAAACATGATAGTAAGACGGACAGAGAGGGAGTTGCAACAACAGCTGTCTGCAGGACCCAGGGTTGGGAAAAGGCCTCTCATCTTACAAACAGTGCAGGATGGTGTCAGAGAAATGAGACCTGTGCTTTCCATCTGCCATATTAAAGGGGTCATATGATGCGATTTCAAGTTTTCCTCGCGACTCTGTTCCCCTTTCGGGCTCTGTCTTTACATTTATTTTGAAAGATGAAGCTCGCGATTATGGTAAGGGGCGTTACATTTCCGACGAGTGCTTGCGGTGTTCGGCCAATCACAATGCACTGGGTCAGCTGGCCAATCAGAGCAGACTGCGCTTGTCGGAAGGAGGGACTTTGTTGAAAACGAAGCGTTTGAGAGAGGCGGGGCATAGAGGACCTACAATAATGTACAGTATTTGAAAAATAATGTGTTTTTTGAACATTAAAGCATGTCAACATATTCTGTTACACCAAATAAACCAAATAATGATCTTTAAAAAAGCATCATATGACCCCTTTAATATATATAATATCTGCTATATTAGTGTGTGAGGCATAAGGATATCTGCTTATGAACTGTCAGCATGAACCCCTACTACAATGTACACAACTACCAAGAACGTGAGACAGCAGCAACTTCAGACTAATTTTTTTACTCTACTGAAAACAATACAGAGAAGTGATTTTTGTTCCTTAAAGGTGGGGTAAGTGATTGTTCAAAAACGCTTTAGAAAACTGATTCGGGCCAACTAGCAAAACAAACTTGTAGCCAATCAGCAGTAAGGGGCGTGTCTACTCATGATGTGGAGGAGAGAGCGTTCAGTGCACAGGAAGGACATTAGCCGAGCGGAGCGACAAAGATAGAGATAAAAAACTTTTGTTGCTGTAAATTGCTGCGGAACAAAAGAAGGCTTAAGGCAAGAAGTAGGACCCGTGTAAATATCGGATCAGCTTTCCAGCGCTGGAGAGAACTCAAGGAGCGGAAGGCCTGTGATCAGACGCCGAGGTTGCTTTGTTTCTTCTCAATAGGTGAGTAACACCGTGTCTGCGGTTAAATAAATTTTTAATTTGTGTCAATACGTCATGAATAGAACGCAGCAGCAGTTTTCTGTCGGGAATTTGTCATGTCACACCGTGCCGCATCCAGTGTAGACCATAGATATATCTATGGTGTAGACAGCATCACTGATTATAATGAGTTCTATAGTATTTTGTCACGCCGCGCCACTCGCGTCCGGTGTAGACACGGTGTAACATTGGTTTTGCTTTGTTTCACAGAACTAATCGTTGCCTGGGTTGCGTATGTATGTGTGGGGCGGAGCTATCAAAATAGGGGCGAGACCCTTTTGGGGTAGGGGCGTGTTTGTTTTTGGTGATTTCAAATGTCAACATTGGCTACCAGAAATCTCTTACCCCACCTTTAAAGGCTAATAATGTTTTCAACACTGCGTCTCACAACATTGAATTGTTTGTTTGATCATCCTGACACAGCAACATTAAACCAATGGCGTGAGTTTGGAAAGGACTGTTTATTCAATTATTTTTTATGTTTAGTTTGGTGCTGCTAGTGGTGCAGAAATTATTCACCTTTAAAAAAAGCAAAGTTGCACAGTACTTGTTCATGACACAGCTGTTTTTGTGTGATGGGGACATAGGTTCAAGCAGGTTCAGTTTACGCCACACTCTTAAAAATAAAGGTGCTTCACGATGCCATAGAAGAACCTTTTTGCCTAAATGGTTCCATAAAGAACCTTTAACATCTGAAGAACTTTTTGTGTTTTGTGTTTGAATAGTTGTATATAAATTTATTGGTTGTTAATAAATTTGTAAGTTGTTTAAATTCTTTTAAGTTGGATATATATTTTTTTATGTGTATTTTATTTTTGTATTACCCTGTGGTCTTTTTCCCCCACATAATAAACCCATAAAAAAAAAATATATATATTTTTTTATTTTATTTTATTTTATTTTAATATGTGCCTCCTGATCATCAGGGATTTATTTTGTGATAATGACCGGCTGACTGTACATTCTCGTTTTTGGTTTAGATGTACTCGGCTGCTTTTGTGCCATTAACCAGGTTGTGTTTGTGTAATAGAGTGACAGCTAGAACATACAGTACTGGCTATGAGAGAAAAGGAGAAAGACCGAGAGAGAAAGAGAGAGATCTATGTCCACAGCCCCCACACCGAAAGGGAGATTAGGCCATAATCATGTCACTCAACACAAATCCTCCATTTTGTGCTGCACGTAGGGCTCATAAGACTTTTGCTCTGCTCCTATATTAAAGGCTACTTCCTCTGTTTCTCTCTCCTCTCAGATCTCACCAATATCTTCGAGTCGTTTTTGCCACAGTTGCTGGCCTACCCGAACCCCATCGACCCTCTGAACGGGGACGCCGCAGCCATGTACCTACACCGGCCAGAGGACTACAAACAGAAAATCAAAGGTGATTTGAAGAACCTCCATCTGGCCTCTGGGTTTATATCTGTCACCATGTTTCACGTCACAGTTTTACGACGTCTTCCGCTCTAAAAAAAAAAATGTGTGTTAAGGGTATGTTTGGAATAGTATACTAGCAGCATACTTTTTGCAGTATGTGTACTGTGCACAGTATGCAAATGTTCTATACATGTAAATGATCTATGTTATTTGCTGAAAGCTGCTCTGCTTGACCCCAGCCTGACCTTCCAATCCAACGAAAAGTATAAAGTAAATGTTATATCAGTCATGACATTTAAATTCTGTTTCTGCCAAAATGTAAGACTTTTAATATTAAAAAATCCAAATAACAGTGTATGTATTTCATAGTATTTTTAACCCTTTAACTGTCACCCCCCATTTTTTAAAATAGGCATGCAGGTGCACTATCCAAACTTAAATTGTTGTAATTTATGAACACTTTGGAATACAGACATAAGGTTGGTCTCTTTTTAAAGAAGAAAATCAGCAAATTATCGCAAAAGTGGAATTTTATCAAAAAATTTAAGTATCAAAAAGTTATAGTAGTTTAAATTTACTGTGAAGAAAATGCACTATATTAATTTTATTTTATTTTATATATAATAAATATTTTACATATCAGGTTTTACTCTAAAATTGGTATAAAATTATAGCCTTATGTCTAAATAAGTTATGTTCCAAATTTGAAGTTGATATGAAAAAAATTGAGGTTCCTGTGAGATTTTATTTAGGGCATTATACCACAAACAGCCACCGGGTGCCATCCAAACTCCATTGAATTTTTTTTAATGCATTTTTCTGTCACAAATGTCTAGATTTCTCTGTCAATATTACTTCTATCTCAAAATATGGAATCCTGAGACTCAGACCTTTCCAATTATATGTTTTTTGTCAAGATTATAAAAGGTTTTGATTTTAAAAGACCGTAATTCATTTTGTAATATGACACTTGACACTGCCCACTAAGGGGGAGGAGACCGCCAAAAGATTTTAAAGTACCATTTCCATGGTAACGCAATGTCTGATTTCGAAATGGTTTTCACAGGATCTTGGGCTTCTAAGCTTTCAAATGATATATGATTTATGATGATTACTAAAAGATTTGATAGAGAAAAAATACAACAAAAGAAAGAGCGCCAAACGTCCCACAGGTGGGACGGTGACAGTTAAGGGGTGAGAACCTTTGACTGAATGGTTCTTTGTGGAACCAAAAATGGTTCTTCTATGGCATTGCTGTGAAGAACATTTTAAGCACCTTTATTTTTTAGGAGTGCATGTTCTTTCCTTGTCTTTTCTGCAGAAAGCCCATTAAACAACATGGAAACAAAGAAACAAACCTCCTAAACGAGAAAGAGCAGTAGCGTAAGCTGTCAGTCAGAGAATGGCTGGAGAGCAATTTCATGGCAACATTAAAATGATACTACAGGAATATAAGTGAAGGGAGAAGAAATACAAACTCATCATAGGACTGACAGCTGAAGTTCTTGATGTCATCAGCAAAGGCTTGCAGGTAGAACAGGCCCATAGGTTTAAATTACTCCTACCATACTAGTTTAATAGGATGCTTTGCTGTTAAAATGAGAAAATGAAAACAATACACTCCTTTAGCCTTAGGGTGTTTTTGAATCATTGAATCACACTATACATCATTTATGATACACTACCATTCAAAAGTTTGAGGTCAGTAAGATTTTTTGTTTTGAAAGAAATGAATACATTTATTCAGCAAAGATGCATTACATTGATTACATTACAATGTAACAAAGTGACATTTAAGACATTTATAATGTTATGGAAGATTTCTTTTTTTAAATAAATGCTGTTCTTTTGAACTTTCTGTTCATCAAAGAGTCCTGGAAACAAAATGTATCATGGTTTTCAGAAAATATTAAGTAGCACAACTGTTTTCAACTATGATAATAATAATAAATGTTTCTTGAGCAGCAAATCAGCATATTTTAATGATTTCTGAAGGATCATGTGACACTGAAGACAAAATTCAGCTTTGCATCACAGGAATAAATAACATTTCAAAATTGAAATGTAAAATTATTGTATATTATAATAAAATTTCATAATATTACTGTTTTACTGCATTTTTGATCAAACAATTGCAGCCTAAGACATATCTTTCAAAAACATTTCAAAATCCTAGCAACAATTTACACATTTTCAATTTTGTACTCGGTTACTTTAATTTTAATGATATTTGAAATGGGATCATATTATATAACATTTGGAGTAAAATGCAAAAAATAAGAACTTGTATCAAGTTTTTTTTGTGCAACCTAGTTTTCCATTATTATATATATTTTAGAGCTTGTTCTCTCAGTATTAGTATCAAAACAATTTGACTTTATTAATCCTCAAGGGACTTTTTTCTTTATTAGGACAATATTTGAACGTTTTACATATGATAAAATATCTCCGTTCTCAGATCAGGTATGTGTGTTTGGTGTCTTGCAGCAGCACATAGAGAGATGGGTGATCCCTGACAGCTGAGGGAGGTCATGGGGCCAGAGCTGCTGTCAGTTGTTTTTGCTGTGGTGTCACATGTTCAATATGGCTGCAATATGACTGTGTCGTTGGCCAGCGTGACCTCGGAATAAGTGACAGACAGCAGGAGGAACATGTCTTAATTTCACTGAGAATAAGCAGTGGCTGAGCTCTGAACTCTTTCAGTGATATTGAAAACAAGCGGAGACTGAGTGCAGGGTTTGGCTGATGGCCCAGCTACTGTACAATGGATGTGAGGGAGTAATTGAAAGTGTGAATAGGATGCACTTATTGCTAAACACAATGAATCTGCATTTTTGGGTCCGTTGAATGGGACTCAAAGCGAGACACATTTATAATAGAAATATGACATATATTAGTGGATTCTAGCTCTAAAGACAAGAAGGACGGTCTAGACGCAGTTGTAGTGTTTGATTAATTTCTGAGGTTTTATTATTCAACAAAATAATTATCATTGCTTATTACACGGCTCTCTAGAATACTTCATTCTGTTGGTCAATCAAAGTAAAATATGTTGTATAATGACTGCTAAATTGCTGACCTTTATGTCAGGAAAACAAATTAGTGCATAACTGTGCTATAGTTTCATGTCTATTATTGTTCTGTGGTCTCTTTCTGCTCACGTAATGAAATAATTTGAATTAAAATCAATAATTCAAGCCCTTTATTTATATATTTGATAAATAGCCTTGTAATAATGTGGAATAATACATGGAGTAATGGAACTGAGCTGGTCATTATGGCAAAATAAACCTCTTTTAAGGGTGATGCAAAACCTGATCACCCTGTCTGGGTTTATTTTGCAATATTGACCGGCTGATTGTACATTATTAACTTACCCAAACTGGTAATACAGTATGTAATTGTTGCTGTATCTTGCACTACTCAACTTAGCTTATAAAAATCTGTAACAAACAATACACTCTTTTATTGGTATCTATAGTTCCATGAAGAACTTTTAACATCCATGGAATCTTTCCATTGCACAGAAGGTTCTTTATAGTGGAAAGGGGTTCTTCACACTAAGACAAACTGGTTCTTTTGAGAACTGCTCACTGAAAGGTTCTTTGGAGAACCAAAAATGGTTCTATTATGGCATCACTGCTAAAACACCTTTTGAAACCTTTAATTTTAAGCGTGTAGTATCATTAATATAGTAGTCATGCAACACTGACAGACTGCATGCTGGTTTCTGTCCCTCTGCAGCTGAATTACCTCCGCCCTACACTGCCATCGCCAGTCCAGATGCAGGGGGAGTTCCTGTCATTAACTGTCGAGTGTGCCAGTCTCTTATAACTCTGGATGGCAAGCTCCATCAGCACGTGGTGAAGTGCACCGTCTGCAATGAGGCCACGGTAAGAGACCCCCAACTGTGGCTTCAGCTTAGTCATGCACAGCTTTAGTCCTTCATCTGGCTCCTTCCTTTTTTTAGGGGTGGGCAGTATGATTAAAGGGATAGTTCACCCAAAAATGTAAATTCTGTCATTATTTACTCACCCTCATGTCGTTCTAAACCCGTAAGACCTTCGTTCATCTTCGGAACACAAATTAAGATATTTTTGATGCATTCTGACAGCTCTCTGACCCTCCCATAGACAGCAAGGGTACTACCACGATCAAGGTCCAGAAACGTAGCAAGGAGATCGGTCAAATAATCCATGTGACATCAGGGGTTCAACCGTAATTTTACGAAGCTACCAGAATACTTTTTGAGCGCAATTAATTAATTAATGACAAAAAATTTTGGGTGACAAATTTTTGGGTGAACTATCCCTTTAAAAGCCTGTAAGTTAATGCATACTTTTATGGTAAAATTTTATGGTATTGTAGTATATACCAAAAATTCAATGACGAATAATATTAAAGAACCATGTGGTAAGGCCTACATTTCACTAATCCAGTGAATTAAATACTTTAATGGAATATACACTATATCCTTCAAAGGTTTGGGGTCAGTAAGATTTCTTTTTGAAAGAAATGAATACTTCTGTTTAGCAAGGAGGCATTAAATTGATCAAAAATTATAGTAAAGACTTGCAGTACTAAAAATATTTCTATTTTCAAAGAAAAGCTTTTCTTTTGAACTTTCTATTCGTCAAAGAATCCTGGAAAAAAATGTATTGTGGTGTCCACAAAAATATTAAGCAGCACAACAATAATGTTTTAACATAAATAATAATAAGAAATGTTTCTTGAGAAGCAAATCAGCATGTTTTATTTATAATTAGTTTATTTATTTATTTTATTTATAATTATTTTTGAAGGATCTTGTGACACTAAAGTCTGTAGTAGAAGTAATGATGCAGCTAAATCAGCTTTACCATCACAGGAATAAATTACATTTTACAATATATTCAGATAGAAAACAGTTGTATTAAACTGTAATAATATTTCACAATAATTCTATTTTTGATGTATTTTATAAAATAAATGCAGCCTTGGTGAACATATAAGACTTCTTTCAAGAATATTACAAATCTTATTGACCTCAAACTTTTGAATAGGATTGTAACTAATTTAATTTCAAAATCACACAAGGTCCCCAGATAATACTAATCCTGTGCGAATAGGGTTATAGGCTGACAACCATAAACAGCTCAAATTTGCTCTCTTCTGTCTCTTTAGTCTCTTTTGACATTTCCCCTCTGCTGAGCTTGATGTCTTTGCTGCGTTGATATTCAGATTCAAAAACGTTAGAGTCACAAAAGTATTTGCAGCTGTTAAGAACACAAGTTTTGAATCTGGGCGTGAATGCAGACTAGACACAAGCTTTAGTGGAGGTGAAGTTTATCAGTGAATAATGGATCAGTTTAGTCCACAATATAGTCCTCACTGCCTCATAGAGCCTACAAGTAATTGTGTTTGGGATGAAGGATCCACGTACATACCCATAAGTGTTGTGTGCTCAAGCGGGTTGAATTTCAGTGTAATTGAATTGTCTGCATGAGAAACACTTCACATGAACAGTGGATGCTTAATCTGAACTGCAGAGTCACCTGATTCACATAACAGCAAAAATCATGATGTTTTGTTTCCCATTTTGTTTGATTTTAAAGGGCTTCACACAGCTCTATTTTAGATTGCGTCGAGTGTGCCAGTCTCTTATAACTCTGGATGGCAAGCTCCATCAGCACGTGGTGAAGTGCACCGTCTGCAATGAGGCCACGGTAAGAGACCCCCAACTGTGGCTTCAGCTTAGTCATGCACAGCTTTAGTCCTTCATCTGGCTCCTTCCTTTTTTTAGGGGTGGGCAGTATGATTAAAGGGATAGTTCACCCAAAAATGTAAATTCTGTCATTATTTACTCACCCTCATGTCGTTCTAAACCCGTAAGACCTTCGTTCATCTTCGGAACACAAATTAAGATATTTTTGATGCATTCTGACAGCTCTCTGACCCTCCCATAGACAGCAAGGGTACTACCACGATCAAGGTCCAGAAACGTAGCAAGGAGATCGGTCAAATAATCCATGTGACATCAGGGGTTCAACCGTAATTTTACGAAGCTACCAGAATACTTTTTGAGCGCAATTAATTAATTAATGACAAAAAATTTTGGGTGACAAATTTTTGGGTGAACTATCCCTTTAAAAGCCTGTAAGTTAATGCATACTTTTATGGTAAAATTTTATGGTATTGTAGTATATACCAAAAATTCAATGACGAATAATATTAAAGAACCATGTGGTAAGGCCTACATTTCACTAATCCAGTGAATTAAATACTTTAATGGAATATACACTATATCCTTCAAAGGTTTGGGGTCAGTAAGATTTCTTTTTGAAAGAAATGAATACTTCTGTTTAGCAAGGAGGCATTAAATTGATCAAAAATTATAGTAAAGACTTGCAGTACTAAAAATATTTCTATTTTCAAAGAAAAGCTTTTCTTTTGAACTTTCTATTCGTCAAAGAATCCTGGAAAAAAATGTATTGTGGTGTCCACAAAAATATTAAGCAGCACAACAATAATGTTTTAACATAAATAATAATAAGAAATGTTTCTTGAGAAGCAAATCAGCATGTTTTATTTATAATTAGTTTATTTATTTATTTTATTTATAATTATTTTTGAAGGATCTTGTGACACTAAAGTCTGTAGTAGAAGTAATGATGCTGTAAATTCAGCTTTACCATCACAGGAATAAATTACATTTTACAATATATTCAGATAGAAAACAGTTGTATTAAACTGTAATAATATTTCACAATAATTCTATTTTTGATGTATTTTATAAAATAAATGCAGCCTTGGTGAACATATAAGACTTCTTTCAAGAATATTACAAATCTTATTGACCTCAAACTTTTGAATAGGATTGTAACTAATTTAATTTCAAAATCACACAAGGTCCCCAGATAATACTAATCCTGTGCGAATAGGGTTATAGGCTGACAACCATAAACAGCTCAAATTTGCTCTCTTCTGTCTCTTTAGTCTCTTTTGACATTTCCCCTCTGCTGAGCTTGATGTCTTTGCTGCGTTGATATTCAGATTCAAAAACGTTAGAGTCACAAAAGTATTTGCAGCTGTTAAGAACACAAGTTTTGAATCTGGGCGTGAATGCAGACTAGACACAAGCTTTAGTGGAGGTGAAGTTTATCAGTGAATAATGGATCAGTTTAGTCCACAATATAGTCCTCACTGCCTCATAGAGCCTACAAGTAATTGTGTTTGGGATGAAGGATCCACGTACATACCCATAAGTGTTGTGTGCTCAAGCGGGTTGAATTTCAGTGTAATTGAATTGTCTGCATGAGAAACACTTCACATGAACAGTGGATGCTTAATCTGAACTGCAGAGTCACCTGATTCACATAACAGCAAAAATCATGATGTTTTGTTTCCCATTTTGTTTGATTTTAAAGGGCTTCACACAGCTCTATTTTAGATTGGTTTAGTGTATATACAGTACAGTATGTGTTGCATTACACTGAACCTTCAGCTCGATTCAGATTTCATAAATTCCTATGCAGACCTGACCTCAATAAGATGTATTAAAAGGTTGCTCTGTCTAGATTCATTAAGGTTGCCAGACTAGTCTAGTCCCTATAATAATAGAATTATTACATAAAGAGTTGTTGGTTTCTTGCAGAAGAATGCTTAAGCAAGAGCAGTTAAGCAAATTCAGAATCATAAGGAAGATTTATTATATTAAGGCATGCATATTATTACATGGTCCCGTCTGAAACATGATTTGTCTGTTTTTTAACAGCCTATAAAAAATCCACCAACAGGAAAGAAGTATGTTAGATGTCCTTGCAACTGCCTGCTAATCTGTAAAGACACGTCTAGGAGGATAGGATGCCCTCGGCCCAACTGGTAAGTGTTAAAGATACACTTCAGAGGGTCATTTAGTCAGCATGTGTTATGGGATCTGCAACAGTATTACTGCGGATGTGCATTACCATAAACGCTCAAACATGCAGTCCTGTTTTGAGTTTGCACTTAGCACTGTCAAAACATTTCATATGCTTTTACAAAGCAGTCTGAACATCTATAGAATTATTGTAGTGAAAGAACAGCTGTGAGAATTATGTGAAATCACTGTAAAAAGCCTGACATATGAAATAATAGTCAGAAAAAAAAATCTAATTTCTGAAGTGAAAAAGCTGATTGAGCCTTTACCTAAAATATAAAAAAAGTAAAAGTTTGCATATGTGTCACTGATGCTTTTATGGCTCATATAGTATAATACAGTGCATGTGAATGGTGTCAGTAAGATGTGTTTTTTAAAGAAATGAAAAATTTAGCAAAGATGCTGCTCATGCTTGAGGAAGAAAAAAAATGTAGTTTCTCTCAGTTTTATTCTATTAGGCCCAAACTGAGCAAAAATATGCAATTTGTTCCAGTTGCTTATTCTTATATGGCTAAAAAGTAAGATGAAATTCTGATAGTTTGTAATGTAAATCAGTGAGATTTTTATAACGGTATAATAGACTGCTTACATAAAATGCATGTAAATGTCAGTTGTCACACTTTATACAACAGTTCGTTCTGGTTCTCAAATCTGATTGGTTGAGAACCGTGAGATATTGTACAGGTATCGCTACAGGAACGCCCTTTCACAATTTTGTATCACTGTTCTAGCAGGGTCTGTGTTTTTTTTTTATTATTCACTGAGCTAATCGTAGAGTACGTTAGTTAATATAAGAAGAAACGTCTAGCTGATTAATCGCATCCAAAATAACAGTTTTTGTTTACATAATATATGTGTGTGTACTGTATTTATTATGTGTGTGTGTGTGTGTATATATATATATATATATATATATATATATATAAAACAGTTCGTTCTGGTTCTCAAATCTGATTGGTTGAGAACCGTGAGATATTGTACAGGTATCGCTACAGGAACGCCCTTTCACAATTTTGTATCACTGTTCTAGCCGGGTCTGTGTTTTTTTTTTATTATTCACTGAGCTAATCGTAGAGTACGTTAGTTAATATAAGAAGAAACGTCTAGCTTCGCGGTCTCTCTCTCTCTCATTTGGATGCACGTCTTGCCGCATTGTTTCTCTCTTATAACCTCATTATTTCTCACTAATAACCTAACTGAAGCAGCACATGCCCTTGATACGAATTCTAAAAGTGACGCATGTTTAACTGTCAACTTGAGCTTTGAATCCGTGGCGGAAGGAAGTAGGTCCGCGCAAAAGAGGGTTTTATTAGGCACTCCGTTGTTTCTTGTTTAATTACACACATGTTCCGTCGAACTGTTGTATAAACGCAA